AGATGATTAAATTCAAAGCAGCAAAACATTCGGAAATGATCCAGGGTTTCCGTGGATCATTAAAAATAATTACAATTCATGAATTTTTTTGGATTTTTTCATTAATTTTTATGAGATTTCGGGGTGGAAAAAGGATCTAAAAACAAGTAGAAATGTAGTAAATAAGTGTATTTACCTTTAATTTGAGTAGGTAAATGAGATAGTTTGCCAGTGGAATGAGTATTTTTGCTCTTAAAATAAAAAAATTAGATAAAATGCACCTGAAATAAGACAATGCAATTGTTTTCTTATTGTAAGTGTAAATTGTCTTGTTCCATTGGCAAAATCTCTCTTTTACCTACTAAATCCAAGAACAAATACACTTATTTTAAGAAAAAACAACTTATCTAGATTTCGATTTTTTTTCCAGTGTAACAATCAACATATACCCGAAACGAACCGAAAACCGTGACCACAAAACTCTGAACCGAACCGAACCGTGGATTTTGTGAACCGTTCCACCCCTAGTGTAAACTATGCACTGAAAATACACTTTCTTTTATTCCTCATTAATGTCTGGAGATGTTACTTCAATATTTCTGCCTAATGTCCTTCCATAGTCCCATTCACAGCAAAGCTCCCACAAAATATAGTGCTCCCATCTCACATGGGATGGTGTTCAGTGGCTTAATAGTCCTCATATTCCCAAAAAATTTCAATTTTAATTTCATCGAATGACAAACCATATTCTATACTCTAAGGGTTCTGTCCTAAGAGATGGTGCTACCAGTTTTGGAGTAATTGTTTGGAGCTTCCTGAATGGCTGTTGAGCTCATGTTATCTCTTTTTTCCATTGAAAGCCCTGGGATTTTAAACCCCAGGGTTTTGATTTTTTGCTTTTTCTAGGGTTTGTACATAGATTGCATTTTGAGAGACCTATCTTCTGCAAATTGTACCCATGGATTATCAAAAGTTGTTTTACTTAGAGTTGCCTCAGAGTACATAGAAAATGGTGCACTGATTTAAATCATGACATGATTTAACCAATCGTCTGCGCTTTCATAGATTGTTGAAAGGCATTGACAATGTTGCGTAAACTCCTGACTTTTAAAGAAAGGTCAGGTTCTTTTTTGTTTTTTTTCTCCTTTTAGTATTGTATATAGCAATGTGAAATCAATTTAAGTGAGTTAAAATCCCAAAGTCACAAACGGTGTGCCACATAAATAACATTTCAGTTGTATAAAGTATTAAAAAACAAGGATTAAAAGCAGTAGAATTGAAAAAGTAAAAGTCTGGTAGAACATGGTTGTTTTAAAAGATGCCTAAAATTCCAGGGAAGTAAGATTGAAGGGGATAATTGTCTCTTTTTATAAGAGATCCAAAGCTTTTAGGGTTTAGGGGTTTGGGGATCGAAGGCTACAAACAGCAGACTTTGGCAAAAAGCCAACACAAATGATAATAAGCCTGGCCATTTAAAGCCCTGTAGGTGAGAACAACAGGTCTAAACCAAATTGTTAGAAGTGGTCTGTCCTTTGAGGCTAAGATTGCTAATGATGGCTCTGCTTGAACTGCAGGCAGTTGTTCATTTTCCTGGTGGTCTAAAGTATAGAGAAACATTGGTTTGTGTTGTTGATGCTGCAATAATTCAAACTCTCTTGCATTCCCCCTTATCCAGCGACTTCATTCAAAAGCCGATGTTTCCATGGTAACCCCCGAGTTCTCAGGAGCATTACTTCTTCGCTTGCCTCCTTCAGCTTTGTCTGTAATCGCTGCGAACATGAGACCGGTGAGACGTTGCGTCCTCGCTCTCTCTGTCTGTCTTTGGCATGCGTTTCTGCCAGAGGTTGTTATTCTACAGTAATCATATCAAGATTTGTTTCTCCATCATTTTGTCGGGTTGTTTTTAATGCCGACTTCCTTCTTTCATTTGAAAATACTCATTTATTGTCATATTAGTAATAAGAGAGGTGTGTTGATGCATGCATAATCCTTTGTTTACAGAATTCCTTCATATCTCTGATTCAGGCTTCATTGATGTAACCTCTTGCTCATGATTTGCCGTATTTATTTAGTAATAATTCGGTAGACGAGCAATCAGAGAAAGCTAAAGGAGAACAAAGGTCCAGAAAAAAATCTGATTATTTTTAAAAATGACAGTTCATTATGGGAGAAATTGTAGCGTTTTCTGTTAAAGAGCAACAAGTAAAGGCTAATTCTCATTCTGTTGTAGACTTTATTGTATTTTCTGCTGCGAATACCTGTTTTTTAAGAGAGAAAAAAAAGGAGGATAGGTAAAATTGCTCCATCTTCTCACACCATTGCTCTTTCTCCACCACTCTAACACCTGCCTGCATAGTCTGAGAGAAGCAAACCAGTCCTTCTAAATGAACCGCCATGTTTTTGGCAGCATTTCCACTGAATATAATGAGCCACTAAAACAAAGGGCGCACCACGTTCGGGGAATCTGTTTTTTTCGCCGCGCTTGACAACTAATGTCATGTGTGCTGTATTCTCTCAAAAACGGCGAATATCTTGGCAGGGGGAGGTTTTTGCCTGATCTAAAGGTCTGACCCAGACTCTTTGTCTAGAAAATGTATACAAAGCTACTTTATTTTGGTTGTTTTTTTAACAAGGCCCTACAGAAGTGTATGTGCCGCTTGGACTTTTCCACAACATTTCTGCAATGTTACACCTACAAACCTCACTAACTACTGGAATTTATCTACATTTTATGTGATAATTAGATAATTAGTCAACACAAAGTAGGACATTGTTGTGAAGGGGAAATAAAATGATAGCTAGCCCTCAAAATCTTTTTACAAATAAAAAGCGTTGCATGCATTTATGTTCAATATTGTTTTTTTATGAATACACGATTTAAAGTGTTTTAGATGATACGTGTTTTTTATACTTAGAAACTGAAATCCTTCTGTTATCTTTGCAATAATACCCAAAGGGTATCTAAACCATTATCTTGCAACTCTGGGTGTATGTCTAGGGTTTGTTTCTTCCACCCCAGCCTTTGGCAGGTTTTCTTCAAGGATTACCCTCTATTTATCTTCCCATCAACTTTGAATAAAAATGCACGTCCCACTTTTTAGATTTTTATTTTTATAATAAAAATAAGCCATGAATCATGTTTTTTTTAACCTTCCAAACATGCCCTATTTTGTGTCTGGCTACAAGATATAATCTCATTAAAATGCATTAAACCTTATGATAGTTCCAATGAAAATATGTGAAGAAGTTCCAGGGTTGTGGACACATTGTGATGGCATTGTTTGTAAATAGTTTCACTGAACCTTTATCATTGTATTTTTGGATTCAAATTTCAAGTGCCTTAAAGGAAACAGCATTTGCATTCAGCTCTTCCAAAGAGACCCCGAGGAGCATGAAAAAGAACTCCTGCCCCATTTTCCTCTCTTTCAGACATTAAGATACTTGAACTTGTTCACTTGAGGCAGGAACTCAACTCCGACTTGAAAAGGGAAGTTGGAGTAGCAAGTAGAGCCAGGTTATGCATAAATTTCAGAGATGAAAACTGCTGGTCTCTAAGCCATACCAAATCCTCCAACCCTGGGCTGCGCCTAGAAATGTAGTCCATAAAGGTTATTAACAGGACTGATGTCAGAGGGCAGGGCTAATGGAGTCCAGCATGCACTGCAAATATGTCCGACTTAATGTCAGCAATGCAGACCAGAGTCCATCTCTGCTCGTGTAAATACTGGCCGTAGTAAAGGGCCATCATTTCTATATTCATTGGGTGCCCCCAACAGGGCATCATGAGGGACATGACTGACTGCTTTCTCCTTGAAGCACATTTGGATCAGTTGGGCAAACTCCCATGAACCTTTGAGCATCCTGAAGGGGTGCGCAGCTGGTCCAGTGTTCCACAACTGGGACAAAAACCACACTGCTCCTCCTGAAGCTGAGTTTCCACATTCACCCAGACTCCCCTCTCCAGCACTCTGACATAGGCCTTCCTGAGGTCACTGAGAAGTGTGATCCCTTTAGTTGGAACACACCCTCCAGCCTATCTCCTTATGGTGGGAACTACCAGTCTGTGAGTCCAGGGGTATTGTCCCTTCCCACCGCATGATACGAACCGAAATAAAAATATGAACTGAACATGATATTGAAGAAGCCTGTGAATCACAGCCTGACAATGACATCCAGAAAACCTAAGGTACTCAGGGCGGACCTCATCCTCCCCTGAAGCCTTGCCACCGTGGAGTTCATTGACCACCTCAGTGACTTCAGTCTGAGTGATAAACAAGTCCAT